TTTTTTAATTTTATTTCTTCAATAAATATATCGCTCGATAAATCTTTATCTTTATCTTTTTTGACTTCTCTTATTTTTCCTAAATTGTGAATTTAATACTTATGAGAAAAAGTTACTTTCCCCTCTTTCTAAGTAGAAATTATTCAAAAAAAAAAAAATGCTAGTACTTAACAACTTGTGAATTAGCAATTCAGAGCCCTTAATTTCTCCTTTGCTAACAAAACAAAGGAAGAAAATTTCTCATTTTATTTTTATTAAATATGTATATAAATCTGAAATATTACAGCAGTGAATACATTTTCTAATTTTCCCGTCAAAACAGAAATGTGCTCAAACAAGCTGCAACATAAATCACGCGAAAGAGTGTAAATGACAGAATAAAGCAGAAAAAACAAACAACACCTGGAAAATGTACAGGTTTCAAGTCTTTACTCCTCCAGCTTTTCCTTCCTAATTATATTGATTCCATCAGTAAAACAAAAAACCAATTAGCCCAAACTATAACGGGAAGAACAAGAAGGGAAACTGAAATGAAAAAGGTGATACTAAAGAACAGACCAGGGATGAAGAAAGAAAATCGTGCAGTAGAGGAGCTAAGAATCAAAGCGTCCATTTAGAAATGTTGAGACCACCAAAGACCTTTCTTTCTCTCTTTCTTCACCAAAGAAAAAATGGAGAAGAATGTGAAGAAAAAGATGGGGTTTTGATTGAAGAGAGATTTGAGCTTAAGAAAACAAAAATGGGATGACGATGAATTGAAAGAGAAATCATTAATGGTTTGGAAATGAAGTAGAGACAACGGCAATTACGGTAGCGTAGATACTCTCCACTCTTCACAACGGAAAGCTCGGCAGCTCTCTTGTACGTTTTAGCCAGTTTCTCAGAAAATTTACAAAGCGTCTTCAAAATAAATTTAACCTTCAATAAACAAAAGACTCACCTATAAGCGATAAATAGAAATCCTCAAAACTTTATATAAATACGACCAGAAGTTCGATCTCGCATTAATTCTGCATGTTTAAGGGATATTTAGCAAAAACAGCGATAGTAATATTTTAAGGGATATTTATCTAAATAATTTTTAGTTTTATTCCTCGTCAGATTTCCTCTGCCCTCAGCAAAGATTCCAAGGAGGAAATATAAATCAAAGTTCGAATTTTGAAGGTTTATGGAGTAATTTAGATTGAAATAAAATATTTTAATTTGAATTAATTGATTAATAAATTAAATATTAATAATTATAAAATTAAATAAATATAAAATCGTACTTAAAAGTCCTCAAAAGGTTTAAAAAAATTGAATTTTCGATATTGAATAAAGTTCTCTCTCTATCGTTCAAATCAAGTTAGTTTATTCATCTTGTTGTTATTATATGCATCTTTATGTTAATGTTGTTGTTATTATATGCATCTTTATGTTAATTTTGTTGGTGATTATTTTCATCGTCGACAATAGTATTTATTTGTATCTATTTTTTTTATTTTTTAAGTCTTCCAGTTATTAAAAGTTATAAAATGGTCACTCAACTATTTATATGTTTCAAATCCGTCCTTTTTCGTTAAAAATTGACGATCATTTGAGTTGGACATTAACCTGTCGATTAAGATACACTATAATCATATTTTAATGATGTATATTGGTACTGTTGTTACTTTTAAACATTGGCTTGACGGTATAATGTTTCAAGCACTGGTTCGCCGACATGATTTAAACAGAGAGTCAATCCATAAAATACAACTCAAACAATTATGAGATCAAGTTTGATCATATCTCAATCAATAGGATAATACTCAACTCAAACAACCGCTTTTTTTAATGAAAAATGACGAGTTTATAACATATGAATAGTCAGGTGACCATTTTGTAACTTTTAATAATGGGGAACTCAACAAACAACCTCCTACATTCATAGGACTATTTTGTAACTTTTAATAATCGGGGACTCAACAAAGCAGCACCTTATAGTTGGGGATCATTTGTGTACTTTAACTAAAAATTAATGGGTAAAGTACACAAATGATCTCATGACTATAAGACATTATTTTGTTAACCTACAACTGGTTCGACAATATAATGTTTCAAGCATTAGCTCGATGGGTAAATGAGAATTGATCCATTAAATACAACTTAAACAGTTATGTGGACCATTTTGTAACTTTTAAAATGATTGTCAAAATTTTAACTAAAAATTATGAGTTTCGAATATATGAAAAATCAGGTGACCATTTTGTAACTTTTAAAATGATTGTCAAAATTTTAACTAAAAATTATGAGTTTCGAATATATGAAAAGTCAGGTGACCATTTTGTAACTTTTAATAGTCAGGAAACTCGACAAAATAATGTCTTATACTCGAGGGATTATTTTGTAACTTTTAAAACTCGGAAGACTCAAAAAATAACAACCTATAGTTAGGGGACCATTTGTGTACTTTAACAATATTTTTTCTATTAAAAAGCTAAATTAATTTTACATTCGAAGATATAAGTGTACACAATGAAAGTAAAACAACGTACATATGTAAAATAATAATCAACGTAACCTTGACCTTGAACCACTAACCAAAAAGAAAGAAAATTTCAATGGACTGCAACCGTAATGCCCGTTAAGCGACGAGCCCCTTGATGGACTCGGTGATCCATTCGAGAATGAGAATGATGACGAAGACGAAGAGCTCGAAATCCGGGGCGACGCCGTCATGAATTCACCGTCGTCGGAGCTGTTCATCTCATCACTCGGAGCCGTCTGATCAAGATTCTTGTTGTTTCCACGGCTTCTTTTGCCTTGCTTCCAAAACTTGAACACGCTTAGTTTCATCATTGACGGCTTAGATTGGTGGTCGATGATGTCAACACGTGGTTTTGGCAAGCCGAGGCTAAGCAGTGCCGGCGGCAGACTAATCGGGGGGAGAATATCTTGAGTTTGAGGTTCCTTTGGCGTCCCGGGTTGCATTTCCCAGTTAAAAGGTATCCCTTCGGAGCTCCGGTAGTAATATATCCGAGAAGAACAGCCGAGTGAAGAATTTCTGGAGATGATTCTATTGAAGAACTTCTCCTCGCCCAACGACAGTCCTCTTCGATGATCACTATCCATTTTCTTTCACTTAATTCTAGGGTTGTTTAAATTAGGAAAACTAGTGTTTGAAACAATATCGAAAAGCTAGGCTTTTGGATCCGATGATGATAATACAACTTCGTATCATTATTTGAGTGTATATATATAATACGAGGGTAAGGACTTACGGTCCGCATTTACCGGTATTTTCGACAATGATAGAGCACTGGCACATGCTCCTATATTGTCTTGCTAGTTGACTAGCATGTGTTCCTTCTTTTAATTATTATTTTCTTTGGAATGATTAATTATTATTATTAAATTACAAATATAAATAATTTCGGTAAAGTGTTTTAACAAATATTTTTTTAATAGTATGAGGTGATTAGAAGATAATATATGTTAAAAAAAATTTAACAATTGATAATGTACACACGCCCTATAAATATAATTGTTCGAGTATGAAACCTTTGAAGAGAACAATACTTCCTTCTACAATTGGGGACACTCAATAAATTCAAATAAGTATAATTAAAACCGGAGGGTGGCGAGGCCTTTGTCCCATTGGTTTGGTAACATTGCTCTTTCAATCTATGAGTTATTAACATTTTAGAAAATAATATGGTAAAATTTCAATTAGTTTGAAAAAAAATTCTCAAAAATATAATCCTTTAGTTAATAAATGATAAAATTACTCGTTAACTCTCTCAAACGTTTATAATTCAGTTTTGATTTTGTATATAAAAGATTGAAATTTAAAAAAAATGATTTATATATAATGAAACATGGACCGGAAGGATAATTTCTTTGTTGGTAAGATATAATTTTATGGGTGTGGGCGGTTCCCGTTGCACGTGCACATACCAAAGCCTTAAGACATGACCTAAATTTGCTTTCTATTTACTCCTCCATTCTGTTCCTTAATTGGCCTAATTTCCATCTTAAAAAAGGTAAATCTTTTTTCGGGATTTGATATTATAAATTTTATTTTATTACCACAACATTTTTTTCATTTGAAGTTAACTGATTAATAATTTATAGCGGTTGAACTCACATTTATGTATTCTAATAAAAATTATAAAATATCAAAAAAAATTAAAAGAAATTCAGTTTTTATGATAATCATAATTAAGATTTAATTGTTAAAATTGATCAAAGACCTTAAGTAATTCAATTTTTAGATTCAAATAGGTAAATAATTTAATTGTTAAGTTGAGGGTTTAATTTTTTTTTTAAAAGAGTTTGAGATTCTTAAACCTAAAAATTATAAATTAGCTAAATATTGTTGCCAAGATAGAATGAGTTTGAATTTCGTTCCAAGTTCACATTGTCACAAATTAAAAATAAAGGGTGAAGTCAGCCTAGACCAATTGCCGGAGCAAATTGGGGGGCGTTTTCTCATGGCCAAGGAACCAAAGCTTAGACATGGATTCATTCATTGTATATCTAAGGATTTATGTATTTAGTTGACTTGTTGTTCCGCCATGCATGTGAAGTTCATTAAACTAATTACGTCTATTTCTGTTACCCCAATAATTGAAAGATGTTTAATGTTAGGGCATTGATTTTGGAAAAAGAAGAAGGAATATTTACTTAATTCTCTTGATATCAAGTCTGTTCCTGGAATTGCAAGTATTGTATCTTTCTAGAGTTGATACAATTATTCTCAAATGAGAATATTGGTGATTGATTCTTTTAATGGTATGGAACAAGATTTCATAAGGTTAGGGCACATCAAATAAAAAGAATGTTATTAAATTATGAGATGTAGTAGTAACATTGGCATACAATAAAATCACAAATAATTGTTGTATACATCATTTGAACTGCAGGATGAAACATGTGGCCACGATGGTTACAATATTGTACACAACTTAGGTCAACAAGGCAAATGAGAGTGCCATCAACTTGAAAGCAATTTTACCCCCTCAACGCAAAAACTCAGATAAAACATATAAAACTAAGGGAAGTCAAAGAAACGGCTTACTGTACAGGAAGAGATTCCTGATGTCTAATTAGGATCGTCAGGAGTTATCTAACCATTAATTTCACACCATAAAGATCACTAGTTTGTCTGCCATTCATGGAGTTCCAGTAACTTCCCACAACCAGTCGGAAACGAGAGGCTTTGCTTTCCACTTAACAAGAAGAGAAAAGACTTGATAGCTACTCTTCTTCTTCTTGTTCTAGCTCAACTATCTGTGCTCGTCTCTCAGCAGCTTTCTTTCGTATAAAGAACCCCCATCTCATTGCTGCCTTGATCTTCAGCCACCCAACAACAGCTTTGCCAGGACGTGAACGATCGTCATCAGCAAAGTTTGGCACTGGGGATGGCATGTAATTTGGGAACCCATACCCACCATCTTCTGTCACATTAGGACCTCCCATGCTGAAGAGACGGAGAAGGTGTTGCATATCTTCATTCTCAAGCATTTCGTTACTTCTGATGCGAATCTCTTCCTCTGAAAAGAAGTCCTCAACTCCCTTATCCTGGTTGTTCGTCCAATCATCAAAAGGATTAGGATTTGATGACTGCATTGAAGAACCAATATTTTGGAACCCTACTGCAGAAGACTGTGGAGGACCAAGAGCCAGCCCAACGATGTTGCTATCATTTTTTGAACTTTGAGGTTGCAGAGAATTGTCAATAAGCAGCTCATGTGGCGCAAATTGCATGCTGCCGAGTTGGTTATGATAATTTGAATTCACAATTTTAGACTGCCCCGAATATCTGGCGGATTGTTTATCATTATACCCTGAGGTAAAAAAAATGAAGTTTCTCAAATACTAATTGTGATTGGATGAAGCGAAGAAAAGATGGGTATAAACCTGAAAGCTGCACCAAGACTTAACTTAAGATCTCCAATGAGAATCAATGCTATAACAATCGGCATTAATGATTATCCTTAAAGGACAGAACAAACCAAGTCTTTTAGGGGAGAATTATTTCTAAACCGAAAATAAAATGATACATTTTTTATTAAAAACAAAGAAACTTCACAGTATACACACTGGAATTATTGATTAATGACTGTTAAGGGATATTTATTTGAAAAAAAAAAAATCAGTCTAGGCAACTTGAATAAGGCCACAATTATGATAATAAGGTATATTTCCCAAGAAGATTAAACTAAGCTATACATGGATGAAAACTCCTTAAAGCTAAAATATTTCCAGTAGTTCGAAAACTTACCTCCACCTTGTAGGCCTGAATAAACTTGCTCTGTAGGAACTGTAACTGGCAGCTGCGGTAACTGCAGCTGATGATCTAAAGCACTTGGGTGATCCAGTGCACCAATCTGAAGTTCATTTCTTGCACTTGACCTCCTATTTTGCTTGAAGTTCAACAGTGACTTGCCATCATACTCTATGACTTCATTCCAATTGTCATAGGCTTTCTTTACCAATGAATCTAGATAAACCTGCAGAAATTTTGTTTATATTGTTAAAATTAATGAAGCTATTTTCATAGTGCATCCTACACGGTAACCTCTCAAGAGAAAAGAACTATAGCAATGCTGCTTTTCATTAGAAATTGAAAAAAAACATATATCCTGCCCACCTTCTGACTATCAGATAGAGCATCAGCAGGTAAGTACTGTTCCCCAGAAATAAGTCCATTCAACTCATAGATATTATTGAAAACAACAGCATTGTTTCTTGAATCATCAGTATAGTAAACATAAAGCTTCCCACTCAGCACACAAGTCTTTGCATGATCTAAAAGAGCTTCCCACATCTTATTTGAGATGCCACTTCCCAGAATCTACAAACACGGCAGATAGAAATATAAGAGTGTAACTACTAGGAATAGCTTTTTGATTTCAAAAACAAAGTCCAAACTCACATTTCGTAACTTTTGTGGATCTGCGACAACAAGCCGCAAAAAGTCTTCAACAGTGACTATTCCAGCGGTGTTGAGCCTCTTGTGAAATGACCCATCTTTTCCAATCTTTTCCAATCTCCAGACTTCATCATTCAATGCAGGTGGGTAGTGCTTCTTATACACTGTCAAGCAACTGAATTAAAAAATTTCCAGGAAATCCACAAGTGAAAATAGATAAGAGTAAAAAGTATAAACTCACATTCCCCTCTGTGATCCTTGACGGTAATAGCCTCTGTCTTAGCTTCTCGTACTCGTATGCCTTCACAGTATCCGGAAGCAACCTTCAAGCCAAGCCTGAATTTCCTGCTTCTTATCCAACTTGAGTTGTCGGTAAAAATGAGGTCACCTAATGTTCCAACCCCCTCTTTGAGGTTCACTTGCAAGTCACCTGTTAGCAGCGGTCTTTTTCCTTCGCGCTCTTTGACCACATGGCTCTCAAATTCTTCCTGTGACCAATCTTCATCATCCTCATTGCTAAAATCACCTTCAAGCACAACAACATCTAGCTTTACAGAGGCTTCAGGTCCAATTGTTACAACATGTCCAGTGTTTGAGTCGATTAGAACAATATGGATGGCAGCACCCTGCTCCCCTTCTACCTTCCCTCCTGTGAAAATAGGGAGAGACAACCTGGACCTGAAGTGGAGATGTAATCTCCCTCCATCGGTACCATCAAGCCGTTTTGGAGAAGACCTGATAACCAAAAGTATTACAAGATTATCCACATAACAAAAGTAAAAGATTTGCGTAGAGAATACTTAATTCTAAAGAAAAGCTGGTTCTTTGTAAAGGAAAAACAACAAAAAGAAAATAAATTACACCAAATTCCACTAGGTTTCTTGTAGAAGGATCAAGCTTATTCAAGAAAGTAGAAAACCAATCAACCAGCCAAAGACCAATAGAAGTTATTGTAAAACCAAGCATATTGTATGACTTTCATCAAGTACGTATCCATGCATTAATAATGCTCAAGTTCATCCAAAATTAAGCAGTTACTTAACCAACCCAACCCTACAAGAGAAGGACAACAAAAAAGGTAAACCATATATGACCAGACGTTAATTCTTTACCTTCCATCAAGTCTAGGGGGACCTAATTTTGCCAAAGCTCTTTCCACCTCTTCACTTACCTGCAAAGCATCAACCGTAGACATAATGAGAGACATGAGGAGCATAACATAACTGAAGGGAAAATAACAGAATACACAATACATTTTCTTCAAATTGCACTCAACTTTATATTCTAAATTGGTCTCATAAATGCAATACACAAAAAAGATCATTTTACTGTCATCCAACAAAATTTCAGCAGAAACTGGAACAATCTATGTTACATGGATGCAGTGCACATATGCACCGCACATACCCTTTTCCATGGGAATCTAGGATACAACACCTTAGAAAAACATAATCAACCTCAAAAGATAGGCATTGGGCACCTGTGCATGAATGAATGATCAATTAGAAAAACTAAAGGTCAATTTTTAAATGAACAAGTTACACAAATAAGCATTCTTCACATAATCGGAGAAATGTGCAAGATTAACAACAGTCCCATAAGAAACTGAAACCTTGAAGAATTCTGATTGGAATGCATTCCAAAAAATAATTGCCCGTCTAGTGTAAATAAACAGGCAACTGTGTGTAATGGCACAATAGATGCATGTCCATGTGTAAGCCTATGTCCACAACACATGTAAGGCTCTCCAATTTAGAAGTAAAACTCCAATCAGAGAACAATGCTTCCCAAGAACATTGCCATACAATTTAATGCAGTGTGTCTTTGATCTTGGCTATAAGACAATTGCACAAACCAACCTTATACCAAAAGAATAAAAAAAGAAAAGCAGATGCATCAATCACGACAAGACCCCATCATATCCTGAAATCCTCCACTACAAGATTATTGATAGCAAAGATTAGGAAATTGGTCTTACAACTCTACGAAGAATGGGTTCCAAAGATGAGCAGAGTTTCTGCAAACTGTCCATCTTAAGAGCTTCTACAATTACACTGCATGAAAAAAAAAATGAATTTTTTTGAGAAAAGCACTAGGCCCTATAGGGAGATAAGGTCATTTCTTAACCATGATATTAAGATTTTAAACTTCCTCAGTGTGTCAGAGGATCAGATGACAGATAAATTCACTAGTCATAATACAAAAATACGTATATTTTATTTTGATTTCACCAATTGCCCTGATTGGTAATGCTTTTACTACTAGCATTTTGCTACCCAGAAACCTGCAGCATGATCATAATTGACTACAAAATGAACAAAAGTGTAACTAAAATGAACATAAAAGTTCAAAAACAAAAAATCAAAGTTTAGCAATTGTTAAAACAAATTTTATTTTTAATTATTCAAAAATATTGTTTTCTTTCATATCCAATTTTTTTTTGCATAAACACAAACAACTAGAATACACACAGCCGAGCACGCGAGCAAAGTACTACTTACACAGCGGAAAAAGGAATAAACAGAAGAAAATACCTAGCTAAAGCAGGACGCTTTCGCTCCGGCTCCGGTTCCTCATCTCCTTCCAAATTCCTCTTCCCTCTAGCAATACTATTACTCCTCGTCATGTACCGCGGTTGTCTTTGCATTTTCCGAGCACAAAATTGAAAAACCTTACTTTCCCCCCCGATCTGCAGTCATAGCAAAATCAACACTCCTCAAAACCACTGATTCAAAATGAAAAATTCAAATTCACATTAGTCAAAGACACTTATCTCCTTTTTGCAAGGATAAATTAAACTAAAACAAAATCAGAAATTTAGGTTCTTAAACAAAATCAGAAATTTAGGTTCTTAAACAAAATCAGAAATTTAGGTTCTTACTCAACAGTCGGTTCCGGTCTCAAATTTTAAGCGAACAAAGTGGATAACTACAAAGCGCTTCCAGAGGTGAGTTTAGGAAAAGGAAAATCCAAGAGAAAATCTTTTGCAGTGATTGCTAATAGCACGGCTGCATTTGTTTTTGGACTTCTTCTTTACTAAATTTTTTAAGTGCACACGACTTCTTGTTATCTGACAAAAGTGGTTCGGGGAATAATCTGTTACGGCCATGGCTCACGGTAATACGAGGATGCTTTAGGGCCGGGTAAACAACGGCGAGGATGGTTGAGGTCGACGGATTGGCGAAAGCGACATTTCGCATGGATCTTTTTGCTAGCTGATTGGATGTTTGTCGGACGAGTCAACCATTTTAGATATTAACGGAAGTAGTAATTATTGAGCTGAGATAAACGGTTTTAGTAAGACACACGTCAATTGCTGATTCGTTGTAATTATAGGATTGAGTAATACTAGTTCAGGATAAACAACACGAATACTTACTTCACTTATCAATTTTCTTGAATTAATAAAATAAAATATTATAGTATTAATTCAATTTTAATTTTAAAATATTTAATGTTCAATATTTATATATAATTTGATTAATATTGACGTTGGAACAATACACAACGGGATGAGGACATAAAATTAAATATATATATATATATATATATTTACGTACTTAATATCTTTTGGTTTATAAATAATTTTTAATAACCCAAATCTTATATTTAAACAAATCAATATCTACACGTTATCTCAATTTTATCATATTTCTAAAAAAATAAAAATAAATATATAATTACAGTTCTTAATATATGACTTCTTAAAACAAAATTACCCTCAACATTTAGTCTCAAATTAAATTAAAATGGAATGATATTTAACTATTAAAGTGGATAAAAAAGAGTTAAATAGAAAAAAGGTTTAAACTGAGAATCTAAAAAGCCATTATGATTGAGCTTAGCTGGTTTTTGCACGCCACTGGTTTTTTCTTGGAAACCGCTATGTCCTATTCTGCCATTGCCAGACTTGCGAGATGATAAACAAGTTTCACTTTAATTCTTCATATGGGAGAAAAGGAGTTAATTGATTTTCTTCTTCCGTTTGACCTGGGTGAACTCTTCAAGCTTTGTGTAGAGTTGTCGGGAGCAGATTTCAGGGGATGTGCAAGGACCACATATTACATAAACCACATTTCCCAAGGGCCTGCTGTAGATGCCGTCTTCCCGGAGCATCTCAACCAGAGATCTTGTATCTACAGATTTATGTCTTATACTGCTATTCATAGTACGCCAATGAGAGTGGCGCCATATGAACAACCTGGATTAAGCTATTGCCCTTCATGGATTCTGCATTCAAAAACATCTGCTTGTAGGATGCCAATGAGAGTGGCGCCATATGAACAACCTAGATTAAGCTATTGCCATTCATGGGTTCTGCATTCAAAAACATCTGCTTGTAGGATGCCAATGAGTGGCGCCATATGAACAACCTAGATTAAGCTATTGCCATTCATGGGTTCTGCATTCAAAAACATCTGCTTGTAGGATGCCAATGAGAGTGGCGCCATATGAACAACCTGGATTAAGCTATTGCCTCTCATGGGTTCTGCATTCAAAAACATCTGCTTGTAGGATGGTGGTTCCAGTCTTAAAAGAACTGCCAGGTTGTCAATACGGTGATCAAAATTGACTTGATCTGAAATTTTAAATTTTTTGACGAGATGTTAAAAAATTTCTATTCAACTTCAAAAAATTTCAAATAATGTTTGAACTATGATACAAGGGTTGAAAACTTAAAATTTTTTGTATCTAGTGGATTGATTTACAAGAGTACTCTGCATGATATACGTATATCACATATAAAAAAATGAATATATATATCGTATATAGTTATTGAAAGCTATTTAAAGTAGAATAATTAGTACCATATCTACAATTGAATTTAAACAAAAACTCAAAGAACTCTGCTAGATTCAAATTCAAATAAAGTTTGAATTATTTAATAGGACTCAACAACAAAAGAAATTAGATATATATAGTCGCATCAGATCCATCTGCTTGTAGTTATAGTGCGAAAAGAGTTCCTAGAGCGACCACCCTCGATACAGAAGGGTGCGATGAGCTCTGTTGCACAAGTTCAGCATCCCATAACTGCAAGAATTTGAGTGGAAGGATGTGATGAGATCTGTTAGAAAGTTTCTCACCCCGAGTATCCGTCTTAGAATATAGAAAGGCATGGAAACTGAACTTGTAAATGGTGAAAAAGATAAAAGATAGAAAAACTTAACATACCTCTCTAAGCAAAGTTTTCTCTTTTTCTGATGTGATGTTAAGATTTAGCAGGTGCTGTGCACTCCATTGCATGTGCAGAATACGAGTGTCCATGCAAAAGAGCCTTAAGCTGAAAGCAACAAAACCACATGTGTGAGTGATTTATTTAGACTATCAGCATAATGCAAATAATAAGAAGGGTTATGGATCAATGCAGATGCCTTGCAATATTATTAGCATTTCTCCCACCAGAAACAATTTGAATCTGCCAAGTCTGAAAAACTCCAAAAAATAATGAAGCAAAATGTCTGAAGACAATGAATAAATATATAATACCTTTGAATCTCCAGTAAATGAAATGAAAATAGCGTCAGTCGCTAGTGTGGCAGCTAGAGGGATGATGCCTGGTACACAACCAAGCAGTTCTGCTGCAGCCTGCCATGAAATAAAGATTAAAAAACTTCCAATATGTCTCATCGACGTTATTTTCCATAAAAAAGGGAATAACGAATCAAATTAAAAACGTCAAACCTCTACTCCTAATCGCCAGAAACCCGTAAAGACCTCATCCAAGATTCCTGGAATTCTAGAGTGCCGACACTCATTGACAAGCATCCTCTGGGAAAGTGGATCAACCTTGTGCATTCCTGCCGCACCTTGGATAACTACAGAATAACCCATCCAATGTGTGAGGTTAAACATCAGATAAATAGAAAATTATGGCTTCCGTAAGATTAGATAAAAAACTCTGAGCATATCTCAGCTTATAAGAATACCCTATGCTATAGGTTGAAATGAAACATAATCCATGGAGAAAACAACTATTGTATATTACAATTTAGCAATCGTGGTAGGAGCAATCCAATGATGAAATAAGCGAAAAAGAAGCTTTTAAATAAAAGGAAAAGTATAGGGCTTTGGTTAACCATAGTCATCTCTCAGAAACACCCAAGCCAGCCAAAAATAACATTTCTGATCCGGCTCACCTCTTGCAATAAGCCAAATATACCAGACATGTCTGATACTAACACCCAACAACAACCTCAAGTGAAACTTGCAAAAAGAAACAAAATGATACTGAATCCAAAAACAAGCAAACAAAATGCTTTTAACATGTCCTCCCAAAGTATAAAAAGGCCAAAAAGAACACCAATACACTCGTACTATAGCTTAAAACAGTAGTTGCAAAGGTAACAATGGAATAGTAAATTCCTAACTGATGAATAAAACCTAGTCAAACAACAAAATATAATGTCAAATGGTAAAATTAAAGAAATATATGTCTTGCCTGGTTCTATAATTAACGCTCCTATTTGCTTAGTCCCAGATAATGTTGAATACTGAGATAATTGCTGAGAAACATTCGATGAATACAAGTCTTAAGGAATATTTCATCACGAGACCTGAAAGCTGACACTACAACAATATATTTTAGAAAATAATCTTAAGGAGAAGTTTGATTCGGGGAATGGTATTTTCCGGAATTATATTATCACGTTTGGTTCACGTAAAAGATCTGTAATAACTTATTTTCAATAGTAGCATTTTTTGATTAAAATTGTAAAAATGTCATTACCTCTAAATTCTTAGATAATGAACGATTGCCACCACTTTTGACATAAATACCTCTGCGATAATGAGTTCTTTTCATATGAAACATTCTTAATTTTTAGTCTTCGTGCTTTACTCAAAATTAAAACTTAACAATAATATACAAAGAATTTAATTTAGTAAAATATTAATAAATTTGAGTAGTTAAAATTATTTTATATTTTTAATATTTAGTATATTAATCTTTATGAAGTGAAAATATTATTACTATAAAAATATAATTATTTAAAATAATATCTAATTTTGAGTTATTAAAAAATAGATCTTATACATTGAAAATAATATATTTGTCCACTTAATACCATAATATTATTTTTCATATTGTATTGTATTATATAAATAAATAATAAGTTTGATATATTAATTATATGTTAAATATATTTTTCCTTTAAACTTAAATATTGTAATAATTAAAATATATTTTTTAAATTTTCGTTCAAGTATTTGTGGTGGAAACTAATGTTTTGCCGAGGGAGGTGTTGGAGGTAGGGATGGCAACTCAATCCGAACTAGATCGGGTCGGATTTTTTTAATGCACTGTTCGGGTTGGGTTTAGGGTGAAAAAATGACCCGACCCGACCCAAAATATATATATAATTTTATCTATATATTTAGGAATAATTACAATATTACTCATCTATATATAATTTTTTCAATTAAATCACTGTTTTTATTGAATAAAAATATATTTTTTTAATTATTTCGGGTCTGGTCGGGTGAAACCTTAATTTCTTCGAGTCGGGTCGGGTCACAGGTGGATGACCATTTCTTCTCGGGTCGGGTCGGGTGACCCAAAAACCCGACCCGACCCATTGCCATCCCTAGTTGGAGGACCAGATGATGTAGGTTGGGTTGGAGGGTGGGATGGTGAGTGGAAAATCGTTTGGATTTGTGGTGGTTGTAGTGGAGGCGGAGGAGCATGGTGGAAAGAGTGAGAGGGAAGTTGAACAGCGAGTGAAATGTTTGAAAATTGGAGGGGAAGGGTAGTGAGTAGGGGTGTTTATTGAGCTAGTCGAACTCGAGTTCGGCAGTGCTCGACTCGTGCTTATTTAAAAATTTTACTGTTCGACTTGACATTAAACTCAATAAAAACTTTATCTTATTTTTTAAAAAATAAAAATAAAATATATTAATAATATATGAGGATATTTAGGGTTGGGTTTTTTGTATTAAAATAATATTTTATTATTTATTAAAAAATAATAGATTAGTTAACTTTTTATTATTTATTATTTATTAATAAATTAATCATTATTATTTATTTTTATTTTTTGAATGAAATAATTTTGAAGTAATTACTAAAAATATATTTTAAAAAATTAACGAGTTGCTCGCGAATTTATTGAGCCGAGTTAGACTTTGTTCGGCTCAACTCGTTAAAGTCTCAAGTCGAGTTCGAGTTAAGCCAACACAATTCGAGTGTTTACCGAATTTTAATCAAGTCGAGTTCAAACTAATTACGAGCTGCTAAACTCGTTAAACACTGTTAGTTGTGAGCGTTCCAGCTAAGTAGAAGAATTCGGCTACATCCTCGTTACCGTATAGAAACTTTAAAGGTAATACATAAGTGGTAACTGAACTATACATAAATGTCCGTTTTAGTCTCCAAACTTCCAAACATTAGAAAAGAGTCATTAAAATTATCAAACAGTTGGGTACAATATTTCAAATTTTGCTGAAAATTCAAAGTTATCCGTTAACTGTTCCAGTTTTCAGCAGCATCTAAATATCTCAGAAGCTGAGGAACACGACTGCAGCTGCAATATCGAATGCAGAATAAAGCGAATCCTGTGGGAAAATGGAAAATTAATTAAGGTCATCTGTTGGTTAGGTTAATTAGGGGTGAATATTAGATCAAAATTAAAAAAATGTATTATTTATATTTAGAATTTATAATATTTTTTAAATAATATCAACTTTAAATTAAATTATTAAACTATTTTTAATGTTTTTAATAAAGGAGAATTAGGGATAATTGGCAAAGTCAAAATGTGTGACTTCATCTTCTCCAACCCCTTTGCCCCTTTCTCTCTACAAATCCCTCTTTTGCCGCTATCATATTTTTTTGTTCTCAGTTCTCACCCACCTAACACGCGCCTATAACCAAAAAAAATGTACCTTTTGGATTTCAAGTCAATGTTTTCATGTGCCATTGACTTCTAAAATATCTTTTATATGTTTATTTTATTAAATTATTGATTAAATATTATTTTTTATAGAGTATTTGTTGATCTAACCATATGAGATATTAAGACTTTTAAATAAGACTAAAGATTTGAATTACGGTATTTATACGAATGAATATGTGATCTGAACTCAACAAGCTATGACTTGATTAGATCTAATAAAGTCAATTTTTTGTTTTTGAAAAATTAAGTTTGAATCATATTTTTTAATGGTAAGTTCGAATTCAGGTTTTGAGCGAAAATATCTGAGCTGTCGTGTCCCAATAATAATGATATAATTGACATTTATATATTTAGATATAATCGTTATAAATTATATATATCTAATTAGGTCGATATTGTATTTAATAAAAATTATATATATATATATATATATATATATATATATATATATATGTGTGTTGCGTTAAGTTAGATGCGAGTTTTTATTCTAAAGTCTATTTGAATTTTGGGTTTGAATGGAACTTTCCTAAACTCGAGTCGAGTCAAATGATAAATACATTGGTGTTATAATCGAGTCAATTTTAGGTGGGCTAAAAATATTGTTCGACCCATATCATGATCATCCTAATTGTAAATGATTTTTAATAATATGTGGTGATTACACTATAGTATATATTTAAAATCTTTCTAAACAACAATACACACACATCCTACAGACGGAGTTACTTGGACTCAGTACCAAAAGGGAAGACAATATTCTCTTTAACCACTAAGATCATTTGATAGATTCATAAAAAAATGTTTCTGAAATATTCGATCTGAATTAGTCGATTAATAAGTTAAATTAAATTTATTAAAATTAAATATTTTTAATACTATCGAATATAGTATGAATATTTTTTCTTTTTGTACAACTTTTATTCACCAACTATTCAGAATTCCTAGTATGCTAGTTATTCCCTTCAAACAAGTGTGATGCAATCGTTGACCCCATTTCCATTGAAATGTAAGCACGCATCGTCTCTAGGTAAGTATAAAACAACAGAAATATGAAAGAAATGCAAAGACTTGTGTGGAAGTCGTTCTCCCATTTACTAGAGAAAAAAATTATATACCCTATGCAATTGAGGAAGTACATAAGCCAATCGAATCTTTTTAAGAATTTAAAATTTTTATATAATTTAAAAAAAATTATATATATATTTTATTAATTATTTATTTATTCTTCTAAGATTTTATAGTTTAACATCTCAAATTTAAAATATTTCTCTAAAAGTTCACACTCTCTGTCATAAAAATTTATATCTATCACTATACTTATCTATGATTTAAATTTTTGGAAAATAAAATAAAAAAAATATTTTTTAAAGAAAAATTCATGTTTATTGTGCAATTTATGTTATGGATTTATAATTGTGCCTCTCAATAATATCATTTATAAAATTTAAAATAGAATTATATCGTTGAGAGTATAATATGACTTATTTTTATTTTTTTGATAATTTGAGATAAGTATAAGATAATATTTGTTCAAATATAATTTTCAATCATTTGACATTGAATAGTCGTACCTATGACATTTCTAGTGCTCGAACCCAGGACCTCAAGGATTAACGACCATTCCTTTACCACCAATATCACTAAGATTCGTGCTAATATGTATTATTATTACACTAATGTATATTAACCATGATATATAATCATATTTTAGGAAAACAATAACATGACAAGTGTTGAAAACTTGAGCTGGGGGTAAATAATGACATGTTTGATCAATTAAGTTGAGCATGTCGCTAATTATACATACTCTTTAAGAAGTCAACCATGTCTTGTTCATATTACCATATGATTCATATGAAAGTCCACAAATTGCAAATTGCATGCATCATTGTCAACTTCGATTACGATTTTAATTAACGATCTTTCTGACTTTCTTCATGTCTTGGGAATTAATTAAATCTTATCTTCTTTGGGCAGTCTAGAAATGACAGGTGGCCTTACTCTTATCTTAAGGATCAATAATCACCAAATAATTGGTGATTAATATATATAAGATTGTTTGAAGTATGTGCTTGTCTTTTAACATCACGCACGTAACTATTAATCAAAGATTATATATACAAACTAATAATATGCAGCCAAAAGACGTATGTGCATTAAATTAATTTCATAAACAATAATACTCTAAGCACGTACAAGTTTGCATACATATAATTAATTAAGTTTAAGCATAGACTAATAATGGAACAATGCTACGATAAAGAAGACAAAATGAAAGACAAAGTGTGTTCATTTTTTCTTCATATCAAAGTATGTCTACCTGCCCATATTGGGTCCAATTCTGAATTATAAACTAATAAGTAAAGAATATTAATTATCGAGATGAAGTATTGGGTCGAATAATGATAATAATTTATTTAAAAAAAATTAACAAATGTAGCTGAATTTAAAAATGCAAAAGAAAAGTAAGTTGTGGTATCCCTTCTCTAGTGTTATGCATAGATTAATTATATAGATGAACAAACTAATCAAAAAAGTAAGAAAAAAAATAATGGAACTACCTTGCCCAAACCCTAAAGAATAAGATAAAATAGACTTGAACAATGAAGGTAAGATTTAAGACTTTTTTTATCCTTACTCATTTTAAGATGTAATTAAAGAGATCGTTCGATAAAATATTCGTAAAGAAATTATATATTGCTCTATTTATTAAGGTTTTTATTTTTTTATTAATATGAGGTAAGTACAAGGTAATATCTGCTCAAAGATAACTCTCAACACCATTTGACATTGAACGGTCGTAGCCCTGATAGTCTCGGTGCTCAAACCCAGTATCTCAAAGAATAACAACAATTTATTTACCATCGAAGTCACTAGAGGTCGTGCCTCTATTTATTAAGTTGGATAAGAGTATAAATAGAAATTTTATGATAATTTAATTAAACAAATGAATTTAAATTTAAGTGTGTTTGATTCATTTATATTCACAAATAAATTTATTTATTTAAACAAATATTTTTTATAAAAATAATTAAAATATTTATGCTTATCTGACTTATTTATAATATAATATAATTATTTTATATCTAAATAATAAAAATATATTCATTTACGGTTCATATGTATTTATTCATGAATAAATCTTTACTTATTTACGGATTTATTTCAATTATATGCTATGAATATACCTGTGAATAAGCTTATTAATGTTTATTAAATAAAAATGTTTATGAAAATTAAATAAACGAATATAAATATGCATAGTTTTTAATAAATATACATAAATAATATTTTAAATTTCTCAATAAATACGGAAGAAAAATAATTCTATAGATTTCAACCATATTTGAAATATAATCTAAGCATATCTGTAAGCGGGCACAAAACTCTCGACTATTTCTACTAACAAGACCTATCAGACATGGGTTTCATCGGAAAGGTGCAAGGCTTTTGTACTTATGAAAGCTTCGTCACTCGGCGTCAGCCATTGATTCAAATCAACTATAAATCATGGTCTTTCATTGACCCATTTTCCCCAACATCCAAACCAGCTTTCCCTTTTGGCTTTGAAGAAAGAAAGAAGAAAATATGGGTCGAGCTCCTTGCTGCGACAAAGCCAACGTGAAGAAAGGACCATGGTCACCCGAAGAAGATGCTAAGCTCAAGTCTTATATCGAAAACTACGGCATCAGAGGCAATTGGATTGCTCTTCCTCACAAAATCGGTACCCTTCATAAACCCATTTCTTTGAATTTGCAATATACATATGTTTCTATTAACATATATGGTAATCGACAGGCCTGAAGAGATGTGGGAAGAGTTGTAGGCTGAGATGGCTGAATTATTTGAGACCAAACATTAAACATGGTGGATTCTCTGAAGAAGAAGACAACATCATCTGTAACCTCTATATGAGTATTGGAAGCAGGTATCTGTCATTTTGCTCGTCTTTTTATTCTTTTTCATCCCAAAACATTTCGGTCAAATTATGTGTTCCCCCCCCCCCAGGTGGTCCATAATTGCAGCTCAGCTTCCTGGAAGAACAGATAATGACATAAAAAACTACTGGAACACCAAACTGAAGAAGAAACTATTCGGGTGGCGCAAGCAAGATGGTCTGACGAACTCTGCCTTTGAACGTTTACAACTCCGTGTTCATCTTCGAAATCTTCAGACCCCTTTCTGTAATTTCTACAACGATTCTGATCTTCGGCCTAAGAGCATCTCCAATGGCGTGCAGCCTCTCCTGAACAACCCTGGTGATTTCTACGACCAGCCTGGTCAGCAATATTATCCGAGAATCAGCAATGCCAGGGGACTTGAATTAAGTGATTCTTTGGACAATTTGATTGACTCGAAAACTGTGTTGTGGGCGGACGGGAATGGCCATCATGAAACGGTTCAACTTGAACCGATTTCAAACTTCAAGGCTGAGCTGGTGGATGAGCTTCTCGATAACAAAACATGTGGCTATGCACCACATGACGGCCAAATGGCTCAACTCGACGGCTTCAACGAGATGAATGGTTCCAAGGAGAGCATGATTTGGTGGTCTGATGCAAAACCAGCGTCTACCAACTGCTGGGGCACTTCAACTTCTCTTCTCCAATTCAATGAAATGTTTCAAGATCACGAATTAGGTTATAATGTGTAACGAAAGAATAAAAAGAAAACTATTTAGGGGATTTGTACAAGGCTTTAAGCTTATTTGGTTTATCGAAAAGACTGGGATTTTCAGACAGATGGATCATGTACATGTGTACGTAAGTACTGTAATAATTATTTAGATATGTATTATTATGATTACTGTAACTTTAAACATATTGCAATCCAATGTTTTGATTAATTTGGTAATGATTAGTAGTAACAGAGACTTATTTAACTAATAAAGTTCCCAAAATTTCCTGATATGGTTCATAGGAGAGATCAGCCTTGGAAATGTGAAACGACTCGGTGGTAGTAATACAACACGGCAACTCATCTCTTCACTTCATGATAACATTGCACCCACGAATTTGTTGCCCTGTTTACAGCTTTCGTTGCCTACATATAATAAAAATATTTTTTAAAAAATTCGTAAATTTATTCTTGATGGAGTATTCATGAAACCAACATCATTTCTTTAAATTAATATAATTTTTTTAAAAAAATTCATACATTGAAATAATGATGCTTAATTGAGAGGGAAAAGGAGAAGTTTGATTACCTCTTCCTCCCATTTGGTTCTTAGAGTTAATATGGCTAAACATGATGCTTGCACAGTTAGTGCCACAATTATACCTGTCCACAGTCCCTGTCAATAAATCAAAACACCATTTGATTTCGAAGAAATAATCCAATTAGATTCAGAATTCGATATTTGAAAGGCAACTAAAATATTACCTTCCCTCCGAGATGACAAACAAAAGCAAGTATGATTGAAGAAGGGATACCGATAAGATGATATGCTCCAAGATTAACCACGGCCCCCATTTTCTGCCAACCACATCCTCTAGCAACCCCTGCAGTATTTTATATCAAGTTACGTTGTTTGAATCTACGAGTATTATTTCATTTGAAATCTTTTCGAGTAGAGTTTATAGAATTCGAGTCGAGTCGAATATAACATATTTGTTTGAGTTTTTATTCAAATATAAATATAATTATTTTTAGTGTTATCATAACGATTGGTTTCAGATTAAATGACTCTCTCCAATTAGATATGACATTCATATATAACTTTTTTAGATTCTTTTTCACATGACTTATAATGTTATTTAATAAATTAAATATCATTTAAAACTATATAATATATTTATAAAATTATTTTTATAATAAATTTATTAAAAAGTGAAATTATTTTTAGAAAAAAAAAGTGATTTTGTAGATAAAGTATTGATGAGAATATAAATTAATAAAGAAATTGATGAGAAAAAATAATTTTCAAAAGAATTATAGTAGAGAGATTAAATTGAAGAAAGTATAAAATTATATGATTAAATTAAAAATAATGATAATTCTGTTGTCCGAAAAGAAAGTTTTATATATATTGGATAAATCCCTTTGTATATTAACCATAAAAAAAACAGAAAACCTGCTGCTACGAAACAACAAAAGCAGCATAAGCTGCCACCACAATACAATCAATGAACTGGGCTCAACTGCACTCCCCAAGCTGTATAAAGTAAGTTGTATAGATAAGTTGAAAAGAGAGAGAGAGATTAAAATGCAAAATAAATAAATTATTTAGTTAAAGATAAAAATCATATAATTATAATTTTTTAATTTTTGATTATTTAAGTTTTATAAATTTAAAATCAACTCAAACTCAAAATTCAAATAAAAAGTTAAAATAATTTAAAATTGTTTTTTAATCTAAATTAAATTTTATTCATTAATTTGATATTATATAATTCTATGTGTTTATTAGTGACACTAACCTGTAAGCACAGATTGAATACCATCAACAAAATGGGAGGCAGCAATGAGCAGAAACATTTGTCCCACATATTTCACCACTTGCTCATCTTCGCTATAAAGGTAACCCCAGATTTTCCGACCCGAAATCATGACCATGCCCACCACAATTCCTTCACTCATCACCATCACCATCACCATCGTAACACACACCGCTAGAAAAGCCGCTCGCGGCCTTTCGGCACCCAGTTCATTGGAAGATCTTGTGCTGATTAGCAGACAAAAGACACCACACGATCAGAGGAAATTTTAAAAGAATTGCATAAAATTCTTGAACTCACCTAACTGCAGCACTAAGCCCAAGAGGAATCATATAAATCGTCGAACATGTATTAAGGCTGCAAGTATCGATCTGACAGTCGGTCAACGATGTCGATGACAGTAATTTTTTTATTATAATTTAAAGCTGCATGCTATATTATAACCTGATTGCCAAAACTGAAGTTTCGAGCTTTGGATTTGGAAGAAGACCGGACAAGAGAACCATCATCTCAAACGACCAAACTTCCAAGCTGTTTCAAAACATGTCAGATAATCTTATATGAATCTGAAACCAAGTAATAAAAAGTGAAACGAAATGTTAATTCATCACCTGAGCATTACAGCTGACGGAATTGATAATCTCAAGAACTTGGGGATACAATACACGGCTTCCATGGAGTAACCCGTCCAAGTTTTCTTACAGGAACGAGAGATTCTGACATACAGTGTTAGAATTACAGCATTGGTCCAGTAGGAGAATGCGTTCGCCAAAGCAGCACCTTTGTTTCCTAGACCAGACTTGAACACCAGAATCCAACAAACAAGGATATGAAGCAATGTCGTGAATCCCGAGATGACCATCATCGGAACAACATTGTTTTGTGCTTGTAAGAATCTTATATGGCACTCCTGGATAGCGAAACCGAAAATGCTCGGCAGCATGAACCGAGCGTAGCGTCCGGCTTCGGCCGATATCTCGGGGTCTTGCCCGAAAAACAAAAGAATCGAAGTAGCATTCGCCCAGATCAAGGCGAGGGGAACGGTGGCCGATAAGAGCACGATCAACGCTGTTTGCAAGTAAACACCGAGCATGTGATATTGCTTTGCTCCATATGATTGACCGCAGAATGTATCCAATGCACTTGCCATCCCCCTCTAATAACAATCATAAGAAGAAGAATCAGAATTAAAACAAGGGCATAAGAAAAGGGCTCTAACAGTCTTACCAATAAGCTAAAACCAGTTACAGAAGCAAAGGAAGTAGCTATGGAAGCACCGGAGAGTGCAAGGTTCCCGAGATGACCCACGAACATTACCGAGGTAAGCTGCAAAGCAAATAACAAGAAATTGACTGACACGAGAGGGCCTGCTAATAACAGCTGCTTCTTCACCTCAGCTAAGATCTCATCTTTGCCAAATCGCTCCTGGGATTCCATATCTTGAGAAACTACCAGTGGGGAATCAAGGTTCTCCATGTGTTTTTTGTGACACTTCTTCTTCCTCTAGAAAGCTATGTGATTTGCATGTATCGAGCAATGGGGATAGTTATAAAGAATCAAATATTTCCATAACAAAAACTACAGATATTACTGCAGTAGCAGGAATCGAGCTGATCAGTTGATAAGAACGTTTGTCTCATGAATCATGATTGCAAAAGGCTTGAAAACAACGGTTACCGAGAAAAGGAGCGTTCGATGCAACCCAGACTCATTAGAAATATGCAGTGACAGAGGTCAGTATTGCAATATCGGAACCACTTTCAATGTATTCAAAGCATTCCAGCAAGTTGAGTAATTAGGTGAAAGGAGAATTATAACATTTCTCTCGGGAAAGTAAAAAAGAAATTAAATAATTGTTGTAATCATAAATCTAAGTCATCTAAATTTGTTTGAATAGATGTAATTGGATCCACCATTTTGATAATAATTCGATCTTAACTTGAGTTAAATTATTGATTGACGTAATTTATATTCGATTTAATTTGATTTGATCTAAAACTTGAATGGTTGTCTATTTTTATCGTCTTAAATGGACGGACTAAATGAAAGGGGTCCAAATTGATTAGGAAATGTGGTTTAAGTGGGTGATTTGACTAAAAATAAAAAGACAAATAACCTAAAAACGAATATATGTGGAAGGGTTTATTGTGGAATTAAACCTAAAAGAAAAGATAGTGTTGGGACCAGTCTGTATAAGACAGCTTTGAAACGGGGAAAATCCAAATCACAACTTCCAAGTAAATAAGACGAACTCTGTTTTGAATAATATTCTTGGATAAATCATTTAATTCTAAATATTAAAAAAAAGTAGCAACTGCTACACAAATACAACCAATAAGATGAAACCAAAAACAAAATAGATTATTGTTTTTAGATAATGCATTATGTTAAAAGAAACAATAATATTCTTTAAATATATAAATTTCTTTATTTATTTTTAATTAAATGAGAAATTTCGATAACTAAACTAGATGACGATGAACAGGAAATTTCTTGATGTCTCTAAGGAGATCCATCAGTAAAGAATGATAATAAAGTATCTGAAATTATGAATAATGAACGTATTTAGCTACAACATTCATTAATTTTAATATTCTATTGGAAGTCATGTGAATTTAAAAGTAAATATAGAAAATGGAAAGTAGACCAACACGAGGACAGCAAAGGTCGGAATTTTATTTAGGGTAAAGTATATCAATGATCACTAAACTTTTCTAAAGCATGCATTTAGGTTCCCCGAGTTTTAAAACTTGCAATACACTCCTCCAAAATTTAGTCTGTTTTTAATATGGTCCCGACGTAACCCACCATTTGACGCCGTTACACTGTCGTTAGAAGCAGATGACATGGCAGTCCTCCAACCTTTAGCCCGTTTTCAATATGGTCACTAAACTTTTCAGTCACTTGCATTTACGTCCTCCAACTTTTAAAACTTACAACACAATCATCAATTTCATTATAAACCTCAAATCCAAAAATAATTCAATTACATCTTAAACCCTAAATTCTAAAATACTTCAATTTAGGATTTAGAATGTAATTGAAATATTTTGGAATTTAGGGTTTAGAATGTAATTGAAGTGTTTTGGAATTTTGAACATAAAATTTGTTATTTGACAGTGTTTACGTCAATATAAATTTGAGGTTTGTTGCATGCACATCCAACAGCTGTCATACTTTGAACATGAAAAGTGCACATTTCACGTTTATTGCATAAATCGTTGAAGTAAAAGTAACAAGGTTAGTTTGTCTTATTCGTAGCTGCCGCACTTTGGTATGACAATCCAATAGGTTTGGATGAAACTTGAGCATGCACATCCAACGGTTGCGAAAATAGTAAAGAGTTTTAGTTCATAGGACTGCAACATACAACCAAGCAAAAACTAAAATAAACCAAGAATATCAATTAATAACTCATTCAAAATGAGGACTTAATAAATATAGGGAAAGAGGTTCAGTCATAGTCACTCCAAAAGTATTAGATGCCAAATATAACATTATCAGTTGCAAATGCATTAATGGCCTACTCTTTTAACATATAATTGCTTCTAATGCTCCATGTTTAATGTTCCTCAATAGTAAAACATGATGAGAATCTAAAGCATATAGGGGAACTAAAATCATATGACCCCATAATTCTTGTAAATTCATGGCATGTCAGCAATAAAAGACATTGTAAAACATAGATGACACTGCAACAAACATATATATGCCAAAAATGAAGGTGTAAATGTGCAATGATCGGACAACATATCAAGTAGCTGCTCTAAATATACTACCCTGTCATGATGTCTTTCGAGTTGCGTGCATACAGAATTGTCTTCTAAAGCTATAATTCAATACATATTCAACTGTAAAAATTCCAAAACATGTAAAAAAAAACCCAATTCATTCACGATATATCGGTACCATAACCAACATGAACTTATTGCAAGTGAGGGGAGAGGCTAAGAAATAAACGCAACCGGTGTTGCGTTCCAACAATTCTTCCTCCATTTTTTCTTTGTAAATAAAAAGCTGAAAGACAGAGCACTGCTTGAGTTTACAATTTTACATGGTGGAAAACTGAAGAACAAAAACCAAACGAGAGTGCATGTGAGCGAAAGAGACTGAGAGGTGAAGACGATGTTTGGGATTTCATTATATTCGATCATCTGTTGGAAAATCTTTAACCACAAGGATTTAACGAAGAAATTATTATGTCATTTATACAAAATAATTACAGCTTTGTTGGTGACTTTCAACAATGATATTTAGTTCATCTTAGTAATATTTGTCAACTCTGCATTTCTAACCCCATTTTTTCTCACAAGCATTTCATCGAACATCTATGCTTCACCTGAGATGACATGTATCTAACATTACACCTTGAATCGTTGATGATCCCGATAATCCCTTGGTCGAGTCTTCTCTTAATGGACCCTTATTCAAGTCAACACCTCCACATAATTCAAAGTTAGATTAGAATTTCCCATGCATCATCGACTGAAAAGTTACGCTAGAAATGAGAAGAGAGAAGCAAAAAAGGAAATTCGAGATCGAAAAAAATTTGGGGTTTATAATGAAATTGAGGACTGTGTTACAAGTTTTAAAAGTTGGGGACCTAAATGCAAGCGCTTGAAAAGTTCAGTGACCATATTACAAACGTACTAACGATAGTGTAACGGCGTCGAACGACCTATTACGTCGGGGACCATATTGCAAACGGACTAAATATTTGAGTATTGTGTTGCAAGTTTTAAAAGTTGAGAGACCTAAATGTAAGCTTTAGAAAAGTTTAGTGACCATTACTATACTTTACCCTTTTATTTATTCATTTAGAAAAATGTTTTAATAATTTAACTTTATTCATCAGATGGGCCAAAGCCCCTAGCTCTTCCTTGATTGTACGCCTGGGCTTGTTTTCTGCCATCTTATAATATGTAAAACACTTCATGGTAGTGGCTAATAATTATTAATTTTTATATATTTCTTAAAGATTATATATCGTTGCAAATCTTAAATATAAACCCTCAAAATATTACTGAAAAGATTTGTTATCTGTCTGAAATGAGATTAAATGTGATCAGAGTTTTAAAATTATTTCTAATATTTCTTAAGATCGAAAAATAACGATAATTTAGCTAACAATTTAAGATCACACCAACGAACAAAATCCAGTTGTAGTGATGGATTAGATTTGCTAAACAAATGTCAGAAAATTTGGACAAACAGCACTCTTTAATAAAGGAAAGTGAATTCTTTGCTTGGATTCAATCTCTTTAAAATTTGCATTTCCCGAAATTCTTACAAAAAAAAAAAAGAAACAGACAAAAGAACAAGATAAAACAGAAAAACTAAAGCTAACATCAATGGAGCATGCACTTGAAAGCTCAAAAGCTGATTACACAGGCAGACCCACACCATATACAAAAACCCACCTTGGAAAGCTCAATTCCCCCCATCACCCGCTGATGATCGCCGTGTCTCCGTTCTCTCACGACCATCACCGCCATCGCCGACCACCTTAGCTCCTCCATGCTCGACTCCCTTATCATCATTACAGCAACATATCCTTTCACCGTTGTGGCCAAAGGAAAACGAAGAACCAATGGGGGTGGCCAAGAACGTCGGCTTCACTTCTCCCGCCATTATAACGAGGACCTTGGGTTCCATAACAGGCCGAAGCCGAGTATCGTCTCCTTTACCTTCACCAGCTTCCAAGTCTCCCTCGGACTGCCCCGATGACCCCTCGCCCTCGTTCTCGAACTGACCCGACAGCTTCCAATAAGAACATGCGAGTATGAGGAGCGCGAACGCTATGAGACCGAGCATGGCAGCCAAGCCGCCGAACAAGTAGGGTACCGGCGAATGCCACGGCGATTGGTGAAGAGTAGTGTTCAGTTGCATATGTGTCCTTACTGTGGCATTATATGGTGCTCTTGCTTCCATTTTTGCTTGCTTAAGGGAATACTGATTTAAAAAGAAAAAAGCTGATATGGTTTGTGTGCTTTGGGGATTGCTTGCAACTTGTGAAGGTATTTATACAAGTAAAGAAATTAATGGTATTTTTATTTTGGTTTAGTTTTAAAGTTATTTATGGCGTCATTTCTTGTCCTAGATTCCGAAACGGGTCCACCAAGTTGGGTCACCCCAGGAGTTCTTTGGGAATTTCCAAACACAATAGTATAGGGAAACGCGCACTTACAAAATAAATAATTCGGATAAATTATTTAATTTATTTTTAACATATTTTAGTATTTTGTAAAAAAAAAAGGTTAGATACCCCTTTTCATATGATTATTGAATAATATAATTTTTTATATAAATATAAGCCACAAACTTTATTAAGAAAAAATATAAATTATAATAAATGTTTACAATCATAAACGTAAATTAAACACATAATTAGGTCATTTCATATAATCATAAATACAATAAACTAGTCACTTAAGATCAAGCAATGACCATACAAGACAAATATTAGAAATTTATTCAAAAATCTTGAAGATCAAATTATTTAAAGACTACCAACAATCACAAATACGAGTCAAATGTCATGAAAAAATTATCTTCAAATACAAATCGTGTATCCAAATCTAATATGAAGATACAAAACAGAGAAGATAAGCATGATAACAAATAAACATCATCTTGATTAGTCGAGGCAGTGTCAAATCCAATCAATAACAACAAAATACGACCAAACGATTGATAGAGAAGATCGAAAACATGTCTAAAGGTGGAGAATGATTCTCTTAAAATAATTTGTTACACTCACAACATTAATGCTTATATAATAAATAAGTACCTAAAATATATATATATTTTATCGAAATAGGCATCTAAAGTATTAAATTTGTTTTATTTAAATATCTAAAGTATTATTTAAATAATATCACTTTTCAAATTTTTTAGAACTTAGATGAAAAAGATTAAATTGAACACGTGACTTACAATAGGTACCTAAAATATTATTGATTCACTCTGTTACTCACACGTATAAACTAAAAGGGATAAAATGTCAACGATCGATGAGATAAGTTTGTTTCCTATCAATAAGACTTAATAATTTTAGTATATAATTTTGTTGACTATTTTTTATATGAGTTATCATTTCCATAGTAGTGTAACATTTTTTTAATATTATAAATGGTTATAATATAATAATTGTTCTTAATATTTTTTAATTAATGACAACGTACACATATTTTACAGATATAATTATTCGAACATAAATTCTTAAGAAAAACAGTGGCTTAGGTCACTAAAATCATTCATCAGTTTCCATTGTAGTTAATCCTACAAATAAGAAAACCACTAATGAAAACGCCACACATAACATTTATTTTCAGATATTAACAATATTTAAAGATAGAATACGACGAAAATAATATTTTAATTTCCCATTAATATTGCATGATTGGCGTATACTGTGGATTGAATGGAGTAGTAATATTTTAATTGTTATAAGTAATTGTTATTGGGTGTTTGTTAAATCCCCACTGATATTGCGTTATTAACTTAATAATGATAAGATTAGAGAAGTTAATGATGAGACGTAAGGAATGAATCCACACCAAATCCCACTTACGAGCAATAATCATACGTTTAAGTGACCCAAATAGGCTAAGAAGTTTCTGCTTTGTTTTAATTGTAAAATAATTTTCGGGGTCTTATTTTAAATGAAAATTGTGGCATCTACGTTGACAATATGTCTCTAATGTTGGAATATTTCACTTATTTTATGTCTTGTCATTTTCATTGTCACAATATCGTGGATTATAATAATATAATTGTTAAACAATTTTTTTTGTTGCATTTATAATTACTAGTTGATTTAATTATATATATATATATATTATAAAACATAGTACGCCTCGAGCAACATCAATTTTTTAAAATCTTTTTAAATTATATTATTTTGTAAAATATAATCATTCACTTGTATGATAAACATAGTAAAAATATATTAAAAATAATCTTTAAAATAAAAATAAAGGAATTTTTTACCCTACAAATGTGAAAATGTGGTTTTAATTCCTTAGGGAAGATCATGGGAAAAGAATAAAATTCTGAATTGTATACACGTACTTTGATTCGCTTACGTTAGCACAACGGATAAGCTCACTGATATATTAGAAATGGGAATCAAATAATTAAAGTATTATATATCATTTCTACGCATTGTATTGAGGATGGAATTTCCTCTCATGTTTCATGGAACCTTGGTAGTAATTAAATACTTACTTTACTTGAAGTGGGTTTGCAACCACCTTTATTATTCTCTAGAAACTTCTTTTGTTCCATTTTTTTAATCACTGTTACGATAATATCCGATCTATTGATCAATTCTTTTAGATTGAGTTTTACTGAGATTCTTATATATGCGACCCTCACAATCTAGTTTGCTCCAATTACGAACACTAAAATTCAAACTTTCTACTTTACTTAAAAAAACTAGTGTCTCGTCCCATCAGACCAATTGGTTGTTGGCTCTCTTTTGTTGTATATTATTAATCTTAATATAAATTATTCCATAAACATGATTAGTTGATTAATTAATACATAGTAGAAGACAGCATTGGATAAGCTTAACTTAGATATGGAGGCTATAAAGAGAAAATTAGGATATTAATTAGATAAAGGAAGGCATTAATTAAGAAACTAAAGCTAATTATATATTGATTAAAGGCATATGCAATTGAGTAAATAGAGCATGAAGCTGGGGAACCTCCCTTAAAGAGGGATGGGAAAAGTTCCGGTTTAAAGAATAATTAATTGAAGGATAAGAAGTAATTAAAGAAATTGAATCAAGACCCACAGATAATAAAAATACAAAATTGGATAAAAAGGAACCAACAGAGAACTTGACACCACCTAATAACCTAACACCTTATTAAACTTGTTAGGTCCCATCATTGGTATTTTCTCTACAAATTATTTTTTCATGTAATTGAGTTTTTTTTAATCAATTTAACTGTTGAGAAGTTGTAAATGATAATGATTGAAAAATTATATTTTTATATTTATGATATTTTTTAATGTTTAAATGTTAAATTAAACTTATTAAGTGATCTTAATGGTAGAAGGAAAAAAGATCAAAACAATCAGAGAAAAATCAAACTTTCTCAGATTCATTCAGTTATCTCTGTCGTTACTATTAAGAGAGTACACAATTATTGAAATAGCTGCTTGCCGTGAAGCAAGCGGAACACATTTATAGCAGCAGTACAACATTGCCACATCTCCCTCTAATACTTGATCCAACATTGGATTTATATCGTGAAAGTAATAATCTCTTATAGTTGAATAATATTTAATTTAAATTTTTTTATGTTTTTATTCTTCAACCGTAATAGATTTCTTTTTTTTTATTCAAAACATATTACAAATAAAAAGAGAGACGGTGGGAGTTACAATCGAAGAATAATTAAAATTAATATGTAATAGTAGTTACCAACTATTCAACCTCTACTTGTAATTGATAAAGGAGAGAAACGAGTGGATAATGATCCTTGTTTCCAAACCAGATTAGGTTTTCATATTTATTAAATACAACAGTACAAACAAAAAGATGATCATGATGTTGATTGTAGACTTTTGTTTGGGTCTTATTGTCTTATGAATTATATTTGTAAATTCATGATAATTATCTGATATATTGATAATGAAGCAAATAATTGTATTTATAAAATTACATTACACAAAGATAAACAATCCTTTGTCTAAGCTCAAAATTTTTTTCTAAAAAAGTTTATACTATAATTACTAGTTTATAATTATATTTATTAAATCAATTAAATCCTTTAATCCAAAATTTCTATGATTGAGTACTTATGTCTTTCTTGGGACCGGTCTTTGGGTCCGGACATTTGCTGTCGTCTTATAAACAAATCTAAGGAAGAGAAGAAATGAAAAATGATAGATTTTTTTCTTCTTTTAGAGAGATCCGTAAGCAGGTTAAGTATGAGTTGTACAAATGATTTAAGTTAAGGAGCATGTGGCATGCACGTCTAATAATAATACCTATGAATGATGAACACTGTTTTCAATGATTGAACATGAACCGTATCCGATCGATTTCGATTTCATTTTCTTGGTACGCATGCATGATACCACCACCTTTGTCAACTTTTACAAGCAACATGCTGTGCATGTCCAACTTTTTTAGCACATTGTCCATTTTTATGGATTTTTGTGTCTGCTAAACTTTAATCAAACTGATAATAATAATCTCTTCATTGTATTTAAAAGCTCAGGTCTTACTTATTATATACAATTATCATAAATTTTATTCTAATATATAATTATTGGTTTCTGATTTACTAATCTAAATCAAATAATATAAAAAATATTACAAAGATGATCATTCCAATCTAACTTATTCTATTACACTAGAACTTAAACCTCTAATCTTATTTAAAAAATTTAATCATCCAATTACACCAATTAATAATTGATAACCTTATCTGAAAAAAGTTTAATTCTAAGTCGGTTATATAATTTGTATTGTATGCATTATTTATGCTTTGTATCAATTTAATTCCAAGTATAATTATTTGAACATGTATTATTTATCATATAGTTCATAAAAGCTCACCATGCATATGTTGGTCCAAGAACCTGGCTTAGGAAGGTTTCAAAGAATAAATTTTTTTCGAAGGATGCACCGCTTGAAATGAATAATATATATATAAAATAAATATGGACTCTGCAAATGAATTTGATACAACAGATTCGGTATGTCTCTTTCTCGGTGCCAATGTTCCCTAGGCCCTGGGGGAAAACGAATATAATCTACAAGCTATTGGGGGTGACAAACCAAGCTTTACATCGATGCCGGATGCCGGTTTATGGATTCGCCAATCTTCACTCTCCGCTGATCATTAGAGGCTGGTATGGCACCCTCTTAATTTCCACAACCGTGGAATGCTCCCGGCTCATCGCTTGTTTCCATGGCTCCCCATCCATCTGCATAAAAGCGTCCTTCCACTCTCCACCCCTTATCTCCAGTCTAATCGATGAAGCCTGCAAAACATCCCACATTAGCACAAGACCAAGCACATAGAGGACTACGAAATATCTGTAAAACACCATCAGTGTTTAAGACCACCTTCTACTAATTATGTAATTACCCGGGGTTTCTCACTATCCTAATTTCTCTTTTTTTGCTCTTTGGCTACCTACCTCATTTACTTCAACAAACTTATGTTTAACCATCTCTGATTTGTAAGGATGGAAATTACCACTTGTTACCGTACCTGCGCAATGTGTTTTGCAGTTATGAGTTCAACCATTACGAACGATGCATGCCATCCTTGCTTTAACCCGAAAATTTCTAGGAGGCCATCATCAGCATGGGCCTCAACAAAGCCTCTCTGAAACACGAACAAAGAAAATCCAAGGAAAACAGCTTAGAAATTGTTTTCAATTGCAAAATCCAGCAGAAAATATTTTTAGTTCTGTTAGGGAGCCAAAACAAATTATATCACTCGGCCTTTCACATCCGAATTCGACCATCAAACATAAACAAATACATACACAGAGAAAGAGTATTGTATTAACTCCGTAGATAAAGTAACTTTAGAGAACTAGAAATGTATCATACCTTCTCCAAATAATCTGGTTTTAGCTTACCCCATGGATTTCGCCCACTTCCATAATTATGAAGATTTAAAGCAACAATTGCCCTCACACTAAAAAAGCAGCATAATATAAGAGTGATTAAACCATAAAAGCCATATGAGGAGGATATGTTTGTCATAGTAAATTTTACAATATAACTTGTCAAGCATATGGTTCGATAAAAGAAATACCACAGATGTGACATGAAGATCTCTAGTAAAGATGCTAAGATTACGTAATAATCATGAAAGCTAACATTTAAAAAGTAACAAGACTAACAGCCAGATCCTAGAAAAATTAAGATGGTCATGTATCACACGGTAGAGGTAAATAATTCAAAACGTACCTTTTAGGAACAGGAATCTGCTCCCACTCCGAGCACCTGGCCCTTTTAATATGTATCCTTAAAATATTCTTGAGTCCCCTGCATTTAGAAACATATTTTAAATATATTCACCTCAAAAAGGAGTTTTGTTCACTCCAAAATGCAATTAACAAGAAAGAGAGGTACTTTCTCTATGATTCATGGAATGTTTCTTCTCAACCAAACAAAATGGTTACCATTTTAATCCCATTTTTTTTTTACTGGTCGACCAGGATTCCTACCAATTCATAGGTTTCCCAGTTCTTGGAGATGAACTGGGCCAACTGGGCTACTGGTTTCCAGTTGAAACGGTTCAATCACCCAACCAGGTGCCCTTTTTTCATCACTTCTGTCTAGGTACAACCATATCTTAGCTAAGTGACCGTTACATATAAAGCAGTTAATTTCTTGTGCATTGCCTCAGCACCAAGGCCTATACTGTTTAAGCAAAAGTCAAACCCAGCATATGTTTATTAGATATGCACAGACACACATCCCAACAAGCATATATATATATATATATATATAAACAACTAAAATAATATCTAACCTTAAACTTGGATCACTCATGCAAGGTGTGAGAAACCAACCCTGAGTGCAACTGTAACCGGAGTAGATAATCTGCCACAAAAGTTGGACCAAGTACAATCTAATATTAGCTTTACCAAATCAAATCATAGACCAGGGAATGCTAAGCCGAAAACTGCAATTTAACTCAACTTTTAACAAATTCAATATCATCTTTTTTTTTCAAATCCAAGCGAAAATAACAGGAGAAAGTTAGAAACAATAAAAGATTGTGTAAACCAAATTACATTTAAGTTGTTTATAAGATAATTCGTAATCGAATATTTGAGTTTAAGCATCCAAATGTATACAGTAATATTGGACAATTCTACTGAAGAACTCCTTCCTCTTTTATTTATTAGAAGCAGAAGGTTTAAGTTGGGACAACATGAAATATGCATAGAAGACTTTTCTACCAGTTTTATGTTGTAGATTCATTTTACTTCTAGCTTTTCATGCAGGGAAGGAACCATGTATGGGCTGGGAGGGGCCTTGGCCACCCCCAAGTTTGGTGGGTTCAATTACTTCCCAAGTCCCTACTAGTTTTGAAACCATGCACCCCAAATTTGCTGGGTTCAGTTATTTCCTAAGTAACTGCTAGTTTTGGAACTATGCAAAATAAGCTTCCCCCAAAAAGATTGAGGTCCAAACTACATTTTAGGTCCCTATTAGTTTTGAAACAAAGCAAATTAAGTCAAGGTCCCTGTATTTCAGATTAAATGCTTCACAGGATCCTATCAGTTCCAAAATTAGACAAATTAGACACTAACCCCTAGTTTTTAAAATTATAATTGAGGTTCGGACCAAATGAATTACAAAATAATTAATGGCTTAACAATTAGACCATGAACCCCCCGTTTTATTACTATTTATATTTGGCCCCCCTATTGTTTCATCATGGTTCCGTCCTTGTTTTCACGCATCCTCCACATCCCATATCAGTATTATGAGCATACAATATTTAAAATATAGGTACTGCAAGACTGAAGGCAAAATATTTAGTCACAAAAAAGTAAATTGAGGAAAAACTTAACTTTATACAAGCAAGAAAATTACTTCCTATGGTCCAGATTATACTATGCATACTCACTAATATCATCTGGACATATAGTCCACAGATGATATCCCTATATGTTGGACAGATGGCCCTATCACCATAAAAAACTAATAAATATATATATTTGGTCGATAGTGTAACATCAAGAGATCGCAACAAAGCATTATTCAACTTAAGGTCAATAAGTTAAAAAAGTTACCTTATTCGAAATAGGACCTTGCGCAAGGTAAGGTTTTTCATTACGTAAATGATGGAATCCGTAAGCAACTTGCGCATCCATTCCTGAATGTAAAATAATAATAACAATAATGAACAAAAACACATCATAAGCAAGGATTTAATGAGTTGTCCTAAGTCATAAGAGTAATATGGTCCACTGCCCCAAAATGCCACTCATTTTTTCCATAGAATAGAGGAAAGAGAAGCATTATAAAAGCTCAGGCATCTATGGACTGCATTAAGGATTTGGTTAAAACGCTATAACTCTCTTCTGTTTCTCCTAAAATAAAGTAGCAGCTAACCTTCGTAACAGCCAACATAAAAAATTAAGATTATCAACCTTCTGCATGAAGGTACAGCTCCTCAACAAGTGAAATTACATGGTATCAATCATGCCTTCATTACCTTAATTCCGAAGAAGGTAAACCCAGAGTGTTTGGAGGACTATAGACCGATCAGCCTCGTTGGAAGTTTATATAAAATCCTCTCCAAAGTATTGTCCAAGAGACTCATTTCTTGCGTTAATGACATTGTTAGCTCTTCCCAATTTGCTTTCATCCCAGGTAGACAACTGTTGGACTGTGCCTTTATTGCAAATGAAGGCATTGATTATTGGAGGAAGAAAGGGCTACAAGGTGTTGTTTTTAAAGCTGACTTCCGTAGAGCATACGACACAGTTGAATGGCCGATCCTTCTAAGAATCATGAAGGAGATGGGATTTGGCGAGAGATGGTGTTAGTTGATCTCGTACTGTTTATCCTCTACGTCTATTTTTGTCTTTCTGAATGGCACCCCCACAAAGGAAATTCCGATGTCTAAAGGGTTAAGACAAGGATGTAGTCTTTCTCCTTTATTGTTCAATCTAGTGGGAGAGTTACTTCATTTAATGTTGGCTTAAGCTGTGGATCGGGGCCTTTTCTATGGTTTCTCTATTGGAAGGTCAGAAAATCCTTGTCAGTTGTCACATCTTCAGTTTGCAGACGACCTTATCATTTTTTGTCGTGCTTCCATCGGACAAATTAGAAATGCTAAAAGAGTCTTGAGAATTTTCAGCTTGATGGTTGGGCTTCAGCTGAATCTATCGAAAAGTAATTTGTTTGGAATCAATATGGAAGTTGATATCCTGAAAGATTAGGCCAAATCCATAGGTTGCTCTGTGGGTTCGTCCCTATAGAATATTTAGGGTTACCACTAGGAGCAAAGAAGAATTCAGATTTTCTGTGGGATTCGATTATTCAGAGGTTTAATAAAAAATTGGCTGGTGGAAAGCTTCTTCACTATCCTTAGCTGGCAGATTGGTACTTCTGAAGTTAGCATTGTCTTCTCTTCCGATTTTTTCCTTTCCGTTTTCAAATTGTCGAGTAGAGTTAGTCAGAAGCTGAATTCATTGATGGCTAGATTCTTGTGGGGTGATGTTTCAGAGAAAAATCGCATCCATTAGGTGAATTGGCAAACGGTTTGTCGTCTGATTGAATATGGAGGACTGGAGGTTTTGGATTTAAATTTAACTAATCGGGCTTTACTAGGGAAATGGATTTGGAAGTTTGCAAATGAGAAAGACACCTTGTGGAAAAATTTGATATGCAACAAACACAATGTAGACAGTTTGTCTATGTCAGTTAGTAGGGTGTATTCTCCCCAAGATTCTTGGATATGGATAGGAATTGTCAGCAGCTTCTTAATGAATGATTCAAACAAGAAGAAATTTGAATGACTGGGAATTGGAACAATGGTTGGAACTAATTATCAAATTGAACAACATAAAGTTGTTTGAGAAAGTGGATGATTTTCTATCTTGGACTGGGAAGGGTGATGGGCTGTTTTCAATGAAATTCTGCAGAATGTCTTTAGCTAAGGATCATGTGGATAACTCTATTTGGAAGAATAGGGTATGGTTGGGGTTGGTTCCTCCAAGAGTTGAAACTTTTCTTTGGCAAGTAACACACCAAAAACTGGCAGTAAAATTAGAGTTGAAGAAAAAGGGGTTCCCTTATTAGATGGTGATCTTTGTCCGCTATGTAAACAAAATGAAGAATCTATTCAACATTTATTTATTGCTGATCCCTCTTTAGTAGACGATCTTAAGTGCTCTATGGCTCAGTGTAGGACTTTACAGAGATGGCTTCCTCCTCCTGTGGATTTCTACAAGTTCAATGTTGATGGTGTTGTTAGAAAAGATGGGTTGGCAGGTGGTATAGGGGGCATTCTTAAAGATTCAAATGGTTTTACCCTAGCGTCGTTTTCTGAAAGTGTCGGATCTGGCCCTCCTCCATTAGCCGAATTGGAGGTAATTACGAAAGCAATTGAAATTTTCTTTTCCTCAATTTGGTCTACTAAAGGTAGAATGATTCTGGAAAGCGATTGTAAATCAGTTGTGGATTGGATCCAGTTGTCTCCTTTTGCTCCTGTATACTTTAGTAATCTAATAAAGGAGATTGAGTCTTTTGTATTGACTAGGGTGTTGATAGTGAGGTTAATTCCTAGGGGCTGTAATTGGGAGGCTGATAAGTTAACTAAAGAAGGGGTTGGGTGACTGTCTGGCTTTATTTAGGATGCTTTATGCATTTCTTGAGGGCAGTCTTTTTTGATTTAATGTAAAGGATTATTGTTGTACTTATGTTATATCAATAAAATGAGGCACTCTTTTCCTCCTTCCTCTAGTTGATCATTTTCTCTTAGAAAGGGTTAATTATGAAGGGAGTTTTAATGAGACCTCCTACTTCTATCAAAAAAAAAAACAAGTGAAATTACACATGCATGAAATTAAACCAACCGGGTTCTAGAAGTTAAACCTGTATAGTATACCTATGCTAAAGTAATTATAGAATACTCCTTCATAGCAGTTCATTGTGTCAGGACTGTTCCCCTCAATCTCCAATGTCTACAGTCACAGACAAGAAAATTTCATTTGAATTTGAAATTTCACATGATAAAATCACAATAAAAAAATTTTTATTACAAAAAAGAACAAAAGAAACACTAATATCATGTCCATGTAACCAAATAGTATACCAGGCTTAGGAAGAAGTTTTAGTTATATAAGGCCATAGTACATTTGATAATGTATTATATATTGGATCAATCATTAAAGCGCATATTGATCTATGACCTAAAAGGTAGTCTCTTCTTCTTAAAAATTTGTCTGTATAAATTTAGTAACAAGCAAAAATAGACATGTAAAACATTTTTACATAATATATGATGTGTTATCCACAAGTTACATTTGGTGAACTCCTATAATACCAAATTAACTTAACCAAACTCTACAAACTCAAACAGATACTATTTCATAAATCTTCAAAGGACTCAAAAACGATCATGCAAGTAGAACAGAGGTTTAAAACATATAAGTTAGTACCTGATCAAGATGACACTCTTCAATGGCTTTCAAAGAATGAGGAGGATCGATAACTTCTCCGCCAGGCATTTGCACCACAAGATGCCAACTGTATCGCCAAAGAAGCAATAACATATATAGCAGCAAAGTAAGATTTATATAACAATAACGGCTTATGCAAACCCATTGCCAATTATAAGAAACTGATACATAAACGGAGTCCTCAATAGTGGATTATCAAACTTATAAATAAAATTCAATCACCCAAAAATCACCAGTAGGAAACAGCAGAACACCATACTAATCATTGTGTGACATATGTATACTTACCTATCTAAACGACAAATTGGACCGGTCGTAGCCTGGTTCAGATTTCTTTTAATTGCTGATTTCCAAGCAAAAGGAAATGAACCTCCCTGCAGTAACATTCAGAGCATAAGGCAATAAAGCAAGAGAAATAGAGCAGCAAACAAGATAAAAACATAAAATTTAAAAGTATCTTACCCAACCATAACTTCTAGACAAGTCATTGCCAGTACCAAGTGGAATGACGGCTACAGGAGGAACTGGATCCCTACCCTTTTGATTAAGTTCTCCAAGACATCCAAGCACCCAACCGACTGTACCATCACCTCCAGCAACCTGCTCAGTCATACAGAGTTGTATAACATCAGCTTGCAATAACATCAAACCAATGAGTAATATGCAAGCAAACCACCAATTTTAACACAAAGGTTAAGCAATAAAAATAAAATCGTGAATTTTATAACTCAGGAAAAGATTTTTTTTTTAATTTAACACATTAATTTGTTTTCTTAGAAAACTAGAATAATTCACTTTTTGACTCTTACAGATTTTCCTAGAAAACAAAATCAGTAATTAACATTATGTGATTATGAAAACCGAAATGTAACAGTAACTAACGCAAGAACATCTCAAATCCCCTTAGGAACATTATAAATAACCAAAAAGAAAAAGGTATATGGGAAGACAAGTTTAAAAGTTGTAAGAAGTTGGTAGAAACATACTACAACTCTAATGTTCTGTCGTGTCTCTTTAGCACAGATATCTCCTTTGTTAGCCCACTTCTCAAGGCAAGCCAGTCCATACCTTACAAATTCATGCGGTTTCACATCGAGGAGGTCAAACACCTACATTCACAAAACTATAAATTCTTTAGCTAATTTATATAAATAAGTCTTAAACCTATTTTTGTTAAAAAAAAAAAGAATAGTTACCTGCTCTTCGCTGATTAATTGCTGGAGACGCTCTTTAAGGACCGGGCCACGACGGCCACCGCTACGAGAGTTAATAAAAACGACCATAGGGGATTCAGGAATATGAACATCATCGGAGGACCGCGAACGGAAACGGTGATCACCGCCGTCGACGTCTTTTTTCCTAATGGAATCTAGCATCGCGAGGCGTAGATACCGAGGCATCAGAAGCCTCCGTCTGAGCTCTTCCTTGTCGATCCTAACTCCGGCTAAGCCGCAAGCTCTTATCCAGTCCATCATCGAGGAACGAGCCACTATCTGTGTCGTCGATGAGTTCCCTGCCGACGTCGGCGAACCCATATTTTCGTGAATCTCCTTTTCGTATTTTTGTTTTATCAAATTCAAAAAAAAAAAAGGTTTGTAGGTGAGTAAAGGTGGAGTAACTCCTATCTATATTTACGGAGTATAAAATATAGCAAGCGAATAAGGAAAGGAGAAAGAAGTTGTTTTTTCAGTTTGACGTATTTAAGGTTTAATTCTTCTTTCAGTCCCTATTTTCTTTTTTCCTTTTTCCTTTTTCAAATTTACCCATATACTTCTATTTTCAGGGTACTTAATCCTCTTATTATTTAAATAAATAAATAAATATCACTGTTAGCTTATTTATGTGTTATTTTGAATGTTCCACGTATTAATATTCAAAATTTTGACTTAGTTTTAAAATCCAAAAGTAGAATGATCGAAATTTCAAAGTTTGAAAATTATAAACACTGAAAGAAAATTAGGCCTTTAAATAATAAAAAATAGGCGTTTGGAAAGGACAATTAAAAATGCTTTTCTTTTGTGTTCGTTTTATTTGGAGTTGATGGTGACAATGAAAAGGAATGCCTTTCGCGGATTCTTATATTACTTAACAGCCACCTGTTACACGATTTTTCCACGCGGAGAGGAGAAAAAAGAAACAGAGAAATTCGTGTTTGTTCAAATTTAGTCGGCTCAGAGTCAAAGGAATCCATGATTCAGTGTGTGAATGTGTGGATTTTTTTAGTATTGGAAACTTCATTGAGTCATGTCACACCTAAAACATGAAGGGTTAAGTGTTGTTTATTTAATTTATAATGATTAAGAGCTGAATGATTCAAATATTGAATGATTCAGAGGTTAATTAGCTCTGAATATGACATGCTGTTTGATAATGGCTTTGAATCATTCAGAATGTACTTCTGTGCTGAATCATTCGACACTGTTTTACTGAATCAGTCATCACCGAATCATTCAGTATTGTTTTGATAAATCAGTCATCATTGAATCATTCAACATTTAATCATTCAGAGGTGCGAAACAAACGCGCTGAATGATGAACCGTTCAACATTCCGCGCTGAATGATTCGATTAAGAGGCAAACAAACATCCCTAAATTACATAATTTTTCGTTAAATTTTATCTTCTTTCCTATTTCACTAGTTTTATTTTTTATTTTTTTAATTTATTCACTAAACTTTTGAATTACTCATGTTTTAGTCATTATAAATTATTTTATTGTTATTATTATTATTCTATAATGTGATATATTTTTATTATTAAAATATTAAAATAATTTAAAATAAATAATAAAATAATATTTTAATTTCTCCATCATCTCTAACTTCACCATCTCCCTTTCTCGTCACTATCGACTATCGTCGGCCTTCGGAACTGGTAAATCATTTGATCCTAAATTACACCAAGAGACTCGCTCTGACATGTTGAGTATGATCTGCTAGTTATTTCATCGAAAAATATCTCAAAACCCGTGAATCTCTACTGAAACATTTTGTTTTTCTCATTTTCGATCTCCTATTCATGGACTTTGGAGCATGTTCTGATAAAATGGAGATCGAATTCGGAAGGGGTCAATGCGAAGCGACCCATGAAATATGGGATCGAACGACACCATCTAAGGCGGTCGACAACAACTGACGTTTTGGTTTTCACTTTTGATTGGATTCAAAGAATGTTCCAACAAAATGGATGTCGAATTCAGACTCATGGGATTGAGACAAAATGATCGATGAAATCTATGACCGAACGACCACCATCGACGATGGCGTCCAACGTCGATGAACAATGGACGACCACAATTTGTTTTTGTTTTATATTTTAAAATATTTATATTAAATAATAGTAAAAAATTGACACGTGATACCAAAACAATAATAAAATAATTCAGAATTACTAAAATAAGAGCAATTTGAAAGTTAAAGTAAGTAAATTAGAGAAATTGAAAGTACAATGAGTGAAATATGAGAGATAATAAAGTTCAGTGAGGAATTATGTAGTTTACCAAAGTAAAAATAAGTACCTAAATTATGTTCTCTTTTTGCTCTAAGTACTTAAATTATTTTTTGGTTAAACTAAGTACTTAACCTATTATATTTAATAAGTCCTATTATTTTTCACTTATAAATTTTTTTTGACCAATAAAATGTTGACATGTCACATAAAATTAGGTTCTTGTTTTGATTAAAAAATATTTTAGGGGCTTAAAACAAAAAAAAAGACATAGTTTAGGGACTTATTTTGACTAAAAATAATTGAAGTACTTAAAGTGGTTACATAATTGTTTAGGAACTTATTTTCAACAAAAAAATATAATTGTTTAATGACCTATTTTGATCAAAAATTAGTTTAGGTACTCAAAGAAAAAAAAGTATAGTTTAGGTACTACTTTTTAGTTTAAGTCAAAGATAAATAAATAAAGGATAAAATTATTTCATTAGCAGGTTAAACTTTAGGAACTATCTCATTTTGAAAACTCAGTTATAAAAAGTTTTGGTTTTACCACTAAATTTTTTTAGTTGATTTTTTGTCATTGAAACATTAAATCAGTCATGTACGGTGATATGGTCATTATCTTTTATATATATATATATTTGCAAAAAAAAAAAAAGTTAAATCTTATGGATTAATTATTGTTTCTAGTCATTCGTAATAAGATTGTATTAAAATATTCTTAATCATATTTTTTTGTTCGATTTAGTTTCATAAAATTCACTAGTCTATAAAAATTTATCTAAAGATCTAATCATTTAATATCTTATGATGACGATACTAATTTTGAAATATATTATTTGTATTCTAAGAATAATATTTTTTCATCATTCGAATATCCGAACGATCATTCTAATCTTATTAAATTCAACAAAATATTCAAACTTCAAAATATTTTTTGTGTGTGTAAATTTATCAATTTAAAAAAAATTGAAAAAAATTAACAGAATAATAGAAAATAATGAGATACATTAGGGTTTAAGATAAGCGTAACAAATGTCAAATATATAAAAAGAACCTTATGTTTCTATGATAAAAATGATGAAGTGAAGTTTTTCCTCATTAGTAAGTCGTTTATTTTTTTTTGTTGATCGGCAAGGACATTAATTTTAATGTTAGTTATCGACCGTCGATATTTTTTATTATTTTTTATTTTATTTTTTTATTTTTAATAAATCTGTATGTATGACACGTTTTCCTATGACTATATGTCACGTTTTTTGACCGTTTTGGTCGTTGTTTTCTCTTATGTTTTTTTAAGTGTTGATTAGACATCGCAACGATCGATCAAGATGGCGCTTATCTGTTATATTGTTGATCTTCCATGCTCTGGACCCTCAGATTGGATTTGAATACCCATTATACATTCGTGGATAGCTTTTCACGTCGTTTGAGTCTGATTTACGATTTGTCAGTGGTTTTTCAGTAGCTTAATCCCTTTTTGTGGTTCGTTTGCCGAAGTGATCATATATGTTTATATCTATCTATGTTCGAGTTTGATTGGTTATATTTTAATTTTTTCTTGTATTGTCCTTATGTGATCTAAAGTTGCTAGTTTTATTTTAATGATTATAGAAAATTATTCTAATTATGTGTTTAATTTTCGATTATGATTGTAAATTTTTATTATAATTTAAGATATTTTTTATTTTGAATAAAATTAATGATTTCTTAAAAAAATGATTAAGTGAAAAATTTGTGTATGTTAACACGTGTAAACAACAAAATGAATATATATTTTTTAATTTTCACATTAGCATTAAACTATCACTTCATTTGATTTTTAACAATTTTAACGACCTATCGACAAAAAGTCAATTCAAAAAGTTTTAGAGTAAAGGTTTTTTTTATTGAGAAAATCGTCTCAGTGACAAAAAAAAAGTTATAATATACGATTTTAACCAACTTTTTTTGGATTTGCCAAAATGACCAACAAAATCGCAACGCGAAATAAAAATCGCAACGCGATCCCCAGAATCGCAAATCAGTTTCCAAAATCGCAACGCGATTCTTGAAAATCGCAATGCGATAGTACAAATTCGCATTGCGATTTTCCAAAATCGCAACGCGAATATGAAAATCGCAACGCGAACACATAAATCGCAACGCGTATCCGTAAATCGCAACGTGTATCCGTATATCGCAACGCGTATCCGTAAATCGCAATGCGTATCCGTATATCGCAACGCATATCCGTAAATCGCAACGATAATCCGTAAATCGCAACGAGAATCTGTAAATCGCAACGATAATCCGTAAATCGCAACGAGAATCTGTAAATCGCAACGATAATCCGTAAATCGCAACGAGAATCTGTAAATCGCAACGATAATCCGTAAATCGCAACGAGAATCTGTAAATCACAACACTGAAATTTTGGGTATATAACACTGAAATCATAAACTAAATCCCTAAATCGCAACTCATTCCATCTCCATCTATCACTCTCTCCGGCGACATCCGTTCCTATATACAACGACATCCTTCCCAATCCGGCAACAGGTTTTAGTTTCGCAGCTCGTCTGTTTAGTAAATTAATTTACAACCATGAAATCATCTAATGTTGATCATGTTTGGATAGATTTGTGTTTTGGAGGGTCATGGGATAATGTTCATGGTGTTTTACAATATATGCCTTTACCCATGAATCTTCAACTAAAATTGTCTTTACAAAAGTTAACTTATGAAACTCTAATGCTACGTGTTTCAAATAAATTGAATTTAGAGCCCCTAAGTGGATTTAGGCTATCTTATCAGAGAAATGGTAAAGTTTATTTGTTAACCGACAATGAAGATGTTGAACGATTCATTGCTTACATTAGTGTTTCACAAGATGATGTTACATTGTATGTTGTTGAACCTAGAAGTAGTATTGTTGGGTCAGTAGCGGGTAGTAATCAACTAAGTTTTTCTCAAAACCCACAACCTTTCTCTAATCCAAATCCCAATCAACTTTCAGCACCAAATTCCGGTTTTCGTATTGACCAGTTAGACGATGATGAGCCAACAGAAAAAATTGTGAGTACTAGTCAGTATTCGAAATTTGGTCTTGGTCAATATCCGGACTTTGATATTGGTCAATACACGGATTTTGATGATGTTTCAGAAGAAGAAACAGACCCTGCGTGTAATGATTTTGATATTGGTCAATACCCGAATTTTGATGATGAAACAGCCGTTGCCGAAGAATGTATTGTTGATGATAATGAGGAGGAAGTTACGACTGTGAATGAACATGTTGAACATCCATTCTGTAATTCATATAATCCTGAAGAAGAAAAAGAAGAAGAAAAAATCCCCGAAGAAAAGAAAATGCCACGGGCGTATAACTGGAATATGCCAGAATTACTTTAGATACCGGAAGAAGAGTTGGTAAAGAAAGCAGTTGATTGTTACACAAAAGTTATTCGTATCAAGAAAGATGATTGTTTTGATACAAAGGAAGACTTGAAGATAGCTTTGTATACGAAATGTGTGGAAGATGGCTATCAACTAAAAGTTAACAAATCAAGCAAAGATCGTTTCGAAACAAGGTGTATGATTGACAAAAACTGTATGTGGCGAATGATTGCAAAGAGAATAAAAGATTGCGAAATGTTTCAAGTTAGGACTTTTATTGATAAACATACATGTTCAAGAACCCAAGTTTTTCCTCACCATAGACAGGCAAACAAAAAGGTGTTGGGTGGTTTTCTGGCTGAGTTAATGTTTTTGAATGGCAGGGTATATCGGGGACATGAAATTATGACTGACATGAATGCTCGGTTCAAGATTAGTATATCATATTCTCAAGCTTGGAGAGCCAAATGTTATGCCTTGGAATTGTTGAGGGGGTCGCCAGAAGCATCGTTTGCCCAACTGCCGGCTTATTGTCACAATTTAAAGCTGAAAAATCCTGGGTCGGTAACTCATATCAAAACAGATAGAGATGGACGCTTTGAGTTGCTGTTTATCGCCATTGGTGCTACGGTTAGTAAATCAATATAATTTTGTTGACTCATTTTTGTTAGTTACATGCATTTCACATTTAAATGATTATATTTATTGTGTATATTATTTTGTAGATTCGTTCGTTTATTACTTGCATGCGCCCAGTTATTATAGTTGACGGAGCACATTTGAAAGGTCGATACCTTGGAGTAAACTTATTAGCAGTAGCCATGGATGCTAACAATGGGATATTGCCAATAGCTTACGGGGTTGGCAAATCTGAAACCTCTGATTCATGGACATGGTTTATGGGGCATCTTAGGGATTGCATAGGTCCTATTAGCAATCTGACAATCATATCCGATAGGGCAAACTCAATTGACAACGCTGTTAGAAGGTGTTTCCCAGATGCTTTTCATGGACTTTGTGGTGTTCATTTGTATAGAAATCTAAAATCAAGGTCTGCTGGTATAAAAAAGCACAAATGGACATACTGGAAGGCTGTAAAAGCTTATCGGGAAGTGGATTTCAATAAGCATATAAATTGTTTAAGACGTGTTTTGCCTCAGTGTGCTCAAACACTAGAAGATGTCGGGTTTGAAAGATGGTCAAGAGTACATCAACTTGGAGCAAGATATGGTTTCATGACGTCTAATAGTACAGAATCAATCAACGCTCTAAGTCGTCATTCCCGGAAATTACTCATTACTATGTTAATGGAGTTTT